TCAATTATATTCTGAACTTTTAAACTCACCAAGTAGAGCAACATTTACAGATTTTGGCAAGACTGGACAATTGATAGCAACTTTAGTGACTAAACCTAAGGTGCCTTCAGATCCAATAAATAGGTGTTTCAAGTGGTATCCTGTATTGTCTTTCTTCATTTTGCTCATGCAATCTATGACATCTCCATTAGCCAAAACCTGAAATGATGGAAGGTTTCAATGCTATCCTTTCATTTTATTTCACTAATAAGCTGTAAATACTTACTGCTTCTACACCGAGTACACTGCCATGTAAGCTACCATACCGCACTAATCGTAAACCTCCTGCATTGGTTGAGACATTGCCACCAATTTGGCAGCTACCTTTGGCTCCTAAATCGAGCGGCATTATATGACCATGCTTTTCTAAATGTGTCTCCAAATTTTCTAAAATACATCCAGCTTGGCAAGACAAAACACCTAGAAATAAAATGAAATTTTGGGATTACTGTATAAACAAGTTTAATTTTAAGAGATACTGCTGCGTTCAACATACCTGATAGACTGTCAAATCCAAGAATATTGTTCATGAGACTTGTAGAAATAACCACTTCATCAAAGACGGGGTTACTTCCGCCTGCCAAACCGCTGTTCCCACCCTGGGGACAAACAGCTAAAAGACGTTCATTGCAGTATTTGAGGATGGCTGAAACCTCCTCTGTCGTCTTTGGTTTGAGGACACATTGGCTGTAACCTAGAGTTGGAGAGACCGACAATTCTCAGATTTACTTTGATTGATTAAACAAATTATGAACTAGGTATTGGTAGCTTCCATTTAATAAAACAATCACAAGAACAATTTACAACCTTTCACTGAATGAAGCCAATCAGCATTGTATGGTTCGACATCTGCAGCATCAGTAAGTATCCGACTTTTTCCAACAATCTGCTCAAAGAAACTTACGTCTCTGTCTGTGAGCGTAGCATAATTGCCTCTTTGAACATTGTATCGATCTTTTGTCAATGCAGAAGCAGTGCCATATTTTGCTGCAAATCACATCTGATTAAAAATATATGTTTACACGCAGTATTTATATTATTTTAATTCAACAAGGGCTAGACTTACCACATCTTACTTCAGACAGCCAACTGTGATGGCCTGCTGTGTGCAACAAGTTGGACGTTGCTTTCCTCATCTTGACTACGAAAGGGAAAATAAAAACATAGAGTGTACAGGTAAGAACAAGGACACCAATCAATCAAGCATTGCAGACGACCGGTGACTGAGCATTGAGCTAATCGTCGTGACGTCTGCTGACCGCAGTGGCGACCCTACTGACCCTACCCCTACTCCTACGAGAGGGTATGGAAAGGGTGGGGGTATAAGCACTTACGTGGGTAGCTGGTAAGTAAATAAGCCTCGCGATAAGCAAAGCTGCTAATGAGTGGAAAGGCTTATTGCTCAGCAGAAAGTCTCACATGGAGAGTGCAGCGTCTCTTGGTGTAGTACACGACAGGCACTGACAACCATTTATACACCCGGCGCCCGGCGGCGCCGTTGTCGGTAAAAATACCGACACAGTTATTATCAGAGATAACGTCAAGAGGAGGGCATACGCAGCATTTGTCTCACTTGGTCTCAGGGGTTTCGGGCTATCGGGCGGCAATCTTGGCAAAGCAATGTTTTCCCCGCACCGTCACTTGTTTCTAGAGCGCGGCGCCAAATTCAAAGCACCGCGCTCTTTTGGTAAAGGTCGAGTCGGTGTGATCAAATTATCGGTCGGCCCTCTCTGCAAAATTGAAACACTAGCAGACAGCCGCAGAAAAGGGATTTCTGAGAAATTTCTGACTGTTGTACTGTGTGCGTGGGCTGCCTGTACTACATGAGAGGCTCCAGGCGCGATGGGCAGGCAACACGCACGCCTGCCCGCTCATGACTACCTAGTGCGCGGCCATCGACATCTTTGCAAACAAAATACGTGGTAGAGGCGCGCTTCACTCAAAATCCATCAGTCTCATATCCTGACAGGTCGCCCTGCGCCGGGTGCCGGTGCCGGTGAGGGCAATGGACTTGGCCGGCCGTCGTCGCGCCCGTGTGCGGGACGAGGCGCCGCGGCGCCGGGGCGGCGCCGTGAGGTTGCGGGGCGGGGATGCTGGTGGACCGCGAGCAGGGCCGAGACCGCCGAGACTCGGCCCCCATTATTACGTCAGTGCGGGTGCGGGGGGCGGCGGGGCGCCCCTCTATAAATAGCGTCTCTTGAACAGTGACGCCGCCGCTGGTGAGGGGGGCGGCTCAGGTCGACGGGGGCCTCGTGGGGCAGGGGGAGGCCGGGCGAGGGCAGGGGCAGGGGAGGCGGGGCGGCAAGCACGCGGACAAAACGTCTGGGAAGAAAACACGTTGCGGGCGGGTAGTCTGTTTGGGGGAGGCTGGCGAGAGCGCAGCGGATGCACGGCGCGGCCCCGTGCGAACCGTCGACACCGCAGAGAGCAGGGCGTCGTGGGCAAGCCGAGCCAGCAGCACCGCGTACTTCTGGACTAGGAGCAGCATGGAGGAGCGGGCGCGGCCCCGCGTCCAGCCCGGCGGCCGGTGACGAGCGTCCGGGGTCGCGCGGAGTAAGCGAAAGGACCCGGGCGGCGAGCGTCAGCGTGCAGGTGAGGCGAAGCGGGGGTGGGGAGGGGGTCAGAGTTGAACGCGGCCCTTTGAACAGTGCGGGGTTGTAGCCTGCCCGATACACCTTGTTGGTCGCGCCCGCCCCGCCGCTGCAGATCCCTCCGTAGGCTGCCTCAGGGCCCGCTGCCAAACTCTTCATCAAAGCCGAGGAGAGATTGGCGGCGGCCTGCTCTAGCAGCCAGCCGGCGGGGGAAGGAAAAAAATGAGCCACGCCGTCGACGAGGCCTGAAACCATGCCAACTTAATCAGCAACTGCATGTGAGCTTGACAGTCTGCACCGCCTGCCGCAGGAGCGGCCGGCGCGGGCGGAGCGGCCATGGCGGGCGGCAGCAGAGGGCCGCGGGCCGGGCGCGGGCCGCTGTCGCGCTCCCGCAGCTTCGACCCGGACCCCGGCGACGGCCGCGGCGGCGCCATGGACATGACCCCCATGGGCCACATGGGCGGGTACACCGGCGCGGGCATGGGCCCGTACGGCGGCTACGGCCCCATGGGGCCCCCGGGCGCGGGGCCCGGCCTGGCCGTCGTAGGCCACGCGCCCCCGCCGGGCTACGGCCCCAGCTACGGGCGCGGCGGCTACGGCCCCGGCCCCGTGTACTCGCCGTACGGGCCGAGCTACCCGTACCAGCACCACCAGCAGCTGGTGCACCGGCCCAACCTGTACACCAGCCCGGCGCACCCCGCCGAGCGCGAGCCCTCCAAGTGCGGCATGTTCTGGCGCTACGTGTGGAAGCTCTGCTCGTGCCTCTGCTCGCACGTCACGCTCGTGTCGCTCGTCGTCGCGTACTGCGTGCTGGGCGCCTTCACCTTCGAGATGCTCGAGGCCGGCCACGAGTTGGAGGTGAGCTGACGAGACTGCGGGCGAGTCACAGGGTGTGGGCCTGAGCAACAACTCTACCATCGCCCTGATCTTGTTCCAGGTCAAGAAGAATGTCTCCTTCCGGCGCTCCAACGTGACACAGTGGCTGTGGACCATGACCTCCAACACGCCCGTGCTGTACCAGGAGAACTGGACCATGTCGGCCATCGAGCGGCTCAAGCTGTTCGAGCAGGAGCTGCTGTGGCACATGCGCTCGCAGGGCTGGGACGGCATCGAGGATGAGAACAAGCAGCAGTGGACGCTGCCGGGCGCGCTGTTCTACTCCATCATCGTCATCACCACTATCGGTGAGTGTGCGGGGACAGGAATTCGACCAGCAAAGATTTCCTTTAGTCCGTGGTCATACGCCACACATTTATTAACCTCAGTATCTTAACTAAACTTACAAACAAATTAGGTCTAATAATTATGGTTGTGAAAAACAAAAACAGGAATGGACGATGTACGATTGGAGTTAATCAGTCTTGAGGAGACCTGCTAGGCTTATTACATGGATGTTTCTGGGATGAGGTAGTGGCCAAGGAGATCTTGGGGCATACGCTACGAAGCGAGCGGGGCGGTAGACTTGGTAACAAAGGTTGGTACCTCACGGTTGTGGGCCCATGACTAGACGAGCTGCGCGGCTGGGCGGCAAGGCGGGGAGTCGGCACAATCACGACCTGCCACCCAGGCCGTATCCCCTATTGTAGTTGTCGTAGTCGCGGTAGGGGCTGTTGAGGCCGCGGATGGGGTAGTCCCCGGGCCTAGTGGCGAATCCGGCCGCCGGATCGGGGCGGTAGGGCGTGGGTCGCGGGCCGACCAGCACGTCGGGCCTGGAACCGGGGTAGCGGTCGCCGCGGAAGCGATCGTAAGGGCTCGACCCCGAGCCAGGGTAGCGGTCGTAAGGAGACGCGCCCGATCCGGGGTAGCGGTCGTAAGGAGACGCGCCCGATCCAGGGTAGCGGTCGTACGGAGACGTGCCGGGATAGCGGTCGAACCGGTCATCCTGTATAGAAATAAGAGGAGGGGTTCAGTTAGATCACGAGGGAAGTACCATTATTCCCGCGGGCTGTCCGTAGACAATGAGGAAGCGAAGGAAGCGTGCCCAGAGAGGCACGGGCAATAAACATTAACCAACTTCCCACAAGACTGGCGCATGCGGACACAAGCCGGTGCAAAAGTGAAGATATGGAGTGCGCATATTAAGTACATGGCACTACATACTCATCTGCTGACCTTGACGGGCCCGAAGCCCGTGGGGCCGCCGGGCCCCGTCAGGACGCCGGGCCGCTGTCCGGGGCCTCCGGGAGTGGAGCCGTAGCCGCCGGGGCGCGGGCCGAGAGAGCGGGGCTCCTTGGAGCAGCAGTAGCGCTTGCCGACGTCGCAAGAGCCCTGGGGGAGGAGACAAGAGTCAGTCAGAATGCTAGTGGTCTGAGGCGGGAGTAGTTCAGTATAAATTCAAGAGTGCACAGATTTTTCTGCCGTTGTTTGTCCCCTTGAATTTTCTTGATCAAAGCAAATTCTCACAACTTTGGGTTTACTCACGAACTGCAGCGCGTTCCCCTCGCAGTTGAAGGCGTGGACGCACTTGCACTTGGACACGTCGCTGGGGTCGTAGCGGTCCACGCCGGGCGGCGGGCGGTTGACGGGCCCCAGGGGCCCTTGCGGGGGCAGGGGCCGCGGCGGGCGGTAGCCGGCGTTGGGGTTCAGCAGGGGGTAGTTGTTCTCGAACGGCCTGTTGCTGATGGGTGGCCTGGAGAAAGGCCGGTTGGGGAGCAGGTCCTCGGGGTGAGGCAGGGTGAAGTCGTCACTGTCGGGGTCCGTGATCTCGTACCGGGGCCTGGTACCACCGAAGCGCGATCTTAGGACTAGGACTAGGAGGACTCAGTTGCGAGATCCACAAGCACACCAAACACGTCATACCTGCCAGGTACGTCGGCGAACCTCCTCCCGGAGACGGAGGGCGTGTCCCTGGAGACCGGTGCGGAGGTGGACGCCGGCGAATTTGCGGGCCTCTGCTGGCCGTCGGGCCAGTTCCACGAGGCCTCGGCTGCCACGGAGCCGGCCAGCGCCAGCCCCAGGGCGGCCAGAGTCAGCAGACGGGAGCACATCCTGCGCGCACGAAGACACACGAGTGAATGGGTTTAGCTTGGAGAAGGTGGCCGCAGCGAACTGGGCGAGCACGGCCTCGGGAGCGCCGCTGTCCCACGCACAGCGCATATGAACACCACCACCACCTCCACCACCACTTCACACACACAAGCACACACGCGGACACACGCAAAGGAGGAATGCGGCGAGACACTCGAGCACGGGGAGACACGCGGGGAGACACACCTGCTTGTCGACTGCAACAATACTAAGGCCTTGCGGACTGCCTGCGGTGGTTTTTATGGAGCCGACGTCTCCGGGCGTGTCCGTCTGTTCGACTTCCCCCTCCCTCCCCCGCTCCCTCCCGCCCATCCGCTGGCCCGCCGCCCGCCTGGACTCCACGGTATGGGTGCAGGGTGGGGCTAGGAGGGGGTCGGGGTGCGCCCGGGACGTAAATTGCCTGCACATTGTGAACCACCGGGGGTAAGCACCCGACGAACGCCAGGTGGGCCAGCCCGCCGTACACGCGTGTAGCGCGGGATGGCCCACCCAACCCCTGAGAGCCCCTGTCGAGCCCTAGGTAGGCCAG